AATGTGTCCGGAATTGTTGTCTCTTATACGGTATCACCATATCATTATCCACGATAGCCGCAATATATAAGAATAGAAAAAACCCGCAAACGAAGCATGCCAGTTGAGCCACCAGTAACGGATGGGCACTGTTACTGAGAGCTATTAGCCGGCAGTGTACCGTCCAAGTTGCTTGCTAAGCTAAAGTGAGCCATTAGGTTGATGTGACGTCTAAACATTCAGGAAAGCCGGACCTTCGGTTGCATGCCCGATTGAATTTCCGCAATAATTCAAACCGGTCCACGTAGCAAACTGCTAGGCACATCACGTCATTGGTAAAACGGTTTCATAATGGACGCCGTTCAATTAGTTCCCTCAGAAAAACCTATCTAGCTTGGCGTTAAAAATAAAAGCACTCCAAATACACAGCGCTTATTATTCGCGCGCTTCATATGCACGTGCTAACATTGCTTCCAATCGAGTAAAAACCCCAGGTTGTTAGTCCACGGCACGATAATAAAAAAAACACGAAAAGGCTCAACTAGGAGTTGAGTACGGTTAACGCTTGTCGCCCTGGCTGCGCACAATATATATATATATATATATATATATATATATATATATATATATATATATATATATATATATATATATATATATATATATGGTGGGCGGCATCGGGTTTCGGATTTGCCTGTCACTGTGGCCAGCCACGGGACGCCTGCGCCTACAGAGGCAATATGGGTGGCTTGCTCAGAAGCACACACAGTTCCATCCACACACCCTATATCCACTGTAAACCCGAAGGAATAAGACCGGGAGGCATGTGGATGGGAGGCACGTCTCATCAACGGAGCCGGCCCACACTCATTCACAGGCTAACACATCACGCTATAGTTGGGAATCAAGCGCACACAAGGCGGTCGCTGGACCGTAGTCCGCTCCACACTGGGTGTATGGAACCACATTGTGGGTCTAGCACGGTCACAAGGAAGGTGCATCCCGTCCCCTCCAGCAACGACCAACTGTCTTCTGGAGCCAGTATAGACGAGGTGGTGGATAATAGACAGACAGGCATCTTGTCAACATGCACAGCAAGCGCAACCAGAACGGAGATGTCAAACAACAGCAAATCACATGAATTGACAATAACAAATAATATATATGTCGTATAAAACATACGGAAATGCTCACATAAATCTACGCCAAATGAGCATATGTAATAAATTGCGTATCAACAAATCCGCGCTAAGTGCGAGTTGTCAGAAAATAAATTCGTTTACGAATGCCACATACGCGAAGACGTAAGCAATCCCAACCACAATTAGCTTAAGCAACATGTGCAAGTTCAGGTAAACATTGAGGTAAAAAATGCATTGAGACACAATAGCAAACTCACCACCTGAAATCAAGAAACTCAGCACTCAAGCATGCGGTTGGTAAACCGAATGCAGCGTACGTACAAACCCCGCGCCCGTTCTGCTCACGTTCTCAGCAGCACCCATCGTCCTTTCGATGCTGGTCCCGAGTGGCCTCGCTCGTGGCTAACAAGGCAAGCCTGACTCAGGCACTCGCGACCGCATGTGTTACAGCACCATGCACTCGACGTCGATGGAGTACACCCCATCGGCGAACGTCGCTACCGCAATTACCACTTCTTCTCTGCATGCACGAGGGCTTTCTCCCGCACCTCGGCAACTGCCTTCCCAATCAAATCGCGCCATACACCCCGATCAACCGCCTTCGATTCCCAACATCGGAAGTCAACACTAGAACGTGAGATGCTCACTTTGATTACGTCCCGCTAACGAAGCTTCGGTTTCCCCACATGCTGCTTCCTCTACACTCAGTTGACCATATAATAGCTGCTTCAGTATTCGTGTCGAAACCACACGTCACACATAACTGAGCCACCTCAGGTGTCTCAGAAAAGGCATGCAGTACACTGCATACATTTCACTTCCGTGTCTGCACCTCTGTCGCACCAACCGATGCGCAGAATCCGTCGCAGACACTGTTGATGAAACCACTCGAAATATCGCATATCCCGCCGGTACATCGTCCACGTTTCACTGCCGTATAGAAAAACAGGCTGCACCATGGATTTGTACACCATCAGTTCCGTGCCAACGGCAAGCTGGCGATTGTTCCACACTCGGCACTCAAGCATCCCGAATACCGCCGCCGCCTACCATACGCGAATATGGAGCTCACTGTGTATCTGCTGGTCAGTCAAAAGCACCCTCCCAAGGTAGCAGAAGCGGGTGGTTTCCAATACTGCAGCACCAATGATGATTCGCGGCACCATTGTGTTGATAGTGTGCCCGAACATGGCTGCTGTCGAAGCCAGAGCACTAGGCATGTGCTGCAACTCATCCGCGCAGGGCGCAAACAATGCACAGTCGTCAGCGAACAGCAGCATACGGATAGTTATCACACAGACTAGGGTTCGCGCACCGAAAAGACAGATGTTCAGCAACTCACCATCAATACGGTGCTCCACACGAACACCGCAAGCACAAGTGGCATCAAAAGCACAAGACATCATGGCACGAAAATAGCAAACAAGGTAGGAGCTAAGACACGGCCTTGTTTCACACCAGAGACAACTGCAAAGTCATCCGAGATCTGTCCACTCCGCTGCACTCTCGCCCGCATACCACTGTGCAGACATTCAAGTAAACTTACAAAAAGACTCGGACAACCAAACGTACCCAACACCAGCCACCAGCGCCTGAGGTACCATCGCGCAGCGGCTCCAACCTCGGTCCATACACCGACTTCAAGTAGTCGAAGAATTCCTTTTGTTGGCGGCGTTCGGTGTGGCATTCCAACTGCTTCGCCTTCTCCGTCCACCATGCATTTTCAATGCGAAGAAGCTCTCGAGTCAGTCGCAGTCGAATTTTGCGAATTCGCTCTTCTTCACCAAGCTACTGGGGTCTGCCACATGTGCAGCAAATGCTGCACTCTCTGACACCAATCGTCGCATTGTTCTCATCAAATCAATCCGGCCGAATACAGTTTGCGCTCCCGATGGTCTCCTAGGCATCAGCTCTCACCCGGTCGCGAATGTAGTGCCACAGGTGGCCCACTGGGGCTATGCAGTCCACATCACACAGCCGTGCAGCCATCGCCTTCTCTAGCTTAATACGTTTCACCACAGTACCGACAGAGAGGAAGTTAAATTTACGCCGGTTCACGGTGGTAGTGCAATACATAGATTTACCGAAATATATGTACAGTTTGGTCCGCACCAACTTGTGATCAGTGCCACACTCAGCTCCACGCAGTACACGTGTCATGCGCACTTCATGCACGTCATGCTGACGTACGATAACAGAGTCGAACAGGTGAGCGTGACCACTCCGTGGGTGC